AAATGGTTCTCAATTATTCCACCCAAAAGCAATCGCCTGTTTCTAGTCCCCCAATGAGAGAGTTGAAGCAGACGTAGAACTGCCTGTTGTGGCAAGGACAGAGATGATATCGGGCAGAGCCGAGGAATAAAACTCCTTGCACAATTTGCATTCATTTAGAGGAAAATTCATTCCATTTAATTCATGCTAGTGCAGAAACAGAAGGACAGAGACTAACCAGAGCAGGAGAAGCGTTTCCGCAGCCATGTGCTGGACCAGAATATGAGGCTACACACAGTACAAGCAGCTCTATATGTTACACAAAGCAGACTTCTACGGGACGGCAGACAGATGGAGTATGAGACATGAGTTTCTATATCAAGCACTTGCGACTAAAATTGTGAAAGTGATAAAAGTGTTTCGTGCAGAGGGAACAAATTGTAAAAATGTAAAAATATAATACTATGCAATAAACCAGTGAGATGGCATAAAAAACAGCAAACTGTTGCTCCTCTTCCAAGTGAAGGGAAGGGGGGAAAAAAGTCATAGGCATTTGAAAATATGCCATGTTAAAGAAGCTTTGATCACAGATGTCAGTATGGAAACTAATATTAACCTGTAGCATAACAAGATTTGGAATGTGTTGATACAAAATAAACACTGGGGTGAGAAACCTGATTATGAATCTTTCAACAATCAAATGAACATGGTGTTCAAAAGCAGTTTTGTTTGCATCATATTTTCATTGATGAACCATCATATTTTCATTGATGAAAACTGTCTAAAATCTTCGGTTTCAGACACGCTGACACATTAAAATAAATTCCAAAATCCAAAATTTGAAAAGTTTAAAACTTTTGAAACCAAAATAAAATTCATTTGAAGGTTTTCCCAGGCAATGAGATGTGAACCAACCAGACCAGCCAACTGACTTAGTGGAAGCGTTGTACCCAACATGATGAAAAAGCATGTACCCTTAGGTGCCACTTGAACACAGCACACACTCGCAATAGACAAACAGGGGCGGGATATATATCAGATTATACACTGGAGAGATATATCAATATGATATGTATATATTTTGCACACACACTAACTACACAACAAACCTAGTTGGGGCATATCCTGCTCATCTGGAGAACAAAAACAGTATATATAACAAACAACCTTGGGATATATGACTGTTATAACATAAGTCCTGACCATAATGCTCCAGAAATATATCAAATAAATACAGAAAAGAATAGTTTTGAAAGCATACAACTTAAAAATATACATATATGAATTTGAAAATGCTTAACTTAATTAAATGGTTAATTTATTCAATGTATCGATTACTTAAGTGGGAAAAGCTGTTATACACTATAATTGATTTTTTTCAGTATCCTTTGAAATACAGCACAATGAACAAGAAGTTGTGATTACAAACAAAAGAGCAGAAATAAACAGTATCATCCACTCATAACCAAACCACACAGGAGTACATGTTTAGATACAAGATTCCACACTGCATTCTAACTTTCAAACCAGCCAATCTGCCCAAGGCACCACAGAAGTCATTAATAGGCCTACAAGAAGTAGCAACGATTGATATTGACAAACTGATATTGGTGTTTAGTACGCTCAATGGGGGCACAACTTAAGTATTGACAATCTAATACTGGTGTTTAGTAGGGCTTATTGAGATCATGTCGTGTTAGTTAATGTGCAACATGCAAACCAAACTGTTAACTAACTACGAACAAGTTGTAGCTACGCGGCCAGGTGAAGCCTGTCTCTGTAAAGCTCTTCACAAAATGTTACGATGACGCAAACAATAAAGGCAGCCCTCCTGGCTGTAGCAGAGCCTGTATTTGCAAATGGTATCGAAATGCCTTCTGGTTGAAGGGCCAAATTTGATAATTCTTTGGGGACAGTTTGTTATAGATTTTTCCTTTATCAAGATTCCGAGCAGATCACTCAATGTTGATACAAATTAAACATACAGTGGGAATTGCTGGCTATGCTTTGTAGACTGAATTGTCATTGGGGAAAGTATATATTCTAAATGGTTGTTTTACGTTTGATGTTGATTGAGCTTTGAAGAGGAAGCATGGGGTTAAGCTCCACATTTCTTCTGTGAAGGCTGGCTTACCAATCCTGAGGGATAATTTCTCTCATTTATCCTTAATCTAGTTTGTGTTCCAAACAACCATCAATCCAAGACAACATAGCACTAAAGGAGAGTTACTTTGACACAGTGTAGAAGTAAAGGTAGCATCCTAATCACAATTAACAAACCTTCCCTGATTACATGTTGATGACTTAAAAAGTTTTTAATTATTGTTTTTCTTCTGCCCAAGCAAAACTGTCATTCCAGTTGTGTGTGTGCTTGCGCATGCGCGAGTGTGTGTGCGAGTGTGTGCTTGCGCATGCGAGTGTTTGTGTGCTTGCGAATGCGCGAGTGTGTGCGCAAGTGTGTGTGTGAGTGTGTGTGCTTGCGCGAGTGTGCGTGTGCGCGAGTGTGTGTGCATGCATGCATGTTTCTGTTGTTTTTGCACTCAGTAATATTTCAGCTTTATCATGGCAGCCTGAAAACAATAAAATCCCTACCAGACAATCCAGTGATCAATATTGTGTGCAATGATCCTTGCTGCCTGCGTACAATGACTTGCCATCAACCAAGTCACTGAGTCTGACCACCAATCCATTTGGTCGCCTCTTACGACCAGCATCAGGTAGCTGGGGACTTCCAGTGAATGAACTTATTTAGTATGTAGTCCTTGTCATAGACCCAATGTAATAAGACTGGCTAAGAAGGTCCTATGCCCCAATACAACAGCAGCCCGTCTCAAGGACCCCAGACCTCATACACTGACCTCTCTCCCCACCCCACCTTCCTTTTACTGGAACATAATAGAGGTTGTGATATATTCTTGCAGGAACTTAAAGAAAGTGGGATATATTTTCTTCACATATCGAAATTATGGCATACTTTTGCAGGAACATAAAGAGATTCTTACATGAGCGTCTGTGTCACATAGATTTAATTAAATGTGTGTCTGAATGTATTTCCAGAACCAGTGTTATAGTACCGATGCTCCATCTATTATACTGTGTATATTCTTCTGACTGTTGGCTTGTTTATTTCATGATATACTGCATGTACTACCAAGGTAGGCATGTATAAATTTCACTCACAATTTATTCCTAGTGTTTATTCTGAAAAGATAATTAAATCTGCTTGCCCCCATTTGTAGCGAAATTGAAGCCTTGAGGACAGGTTCAGATTTGCAGCCCTCAAATGCTACGAGTCAATGAGGACTACAATCACACGGTTTTCACTTGTCCTCACCACAATACAAAGGTCTCGGGCAAGCAGACAAGCATGAATTTCAAAGGCTGTAGTCGCCTCTACGATTCCAGCAGTCATCAAGCTTCACAGTACACAAGGTATCAATAGAACTTTAAGAAACTACTCCAATTAAAAGGTATTCCTATCTACATCATGACAAGGACAACTAAGGGTTAATGGATGGGAGGGTGGGTTTGTGGACGCTAAGCAGACCAGAAGATTTATCCGTGGCTCAGGAGCAAGCCAGTGGAGAGATTCCTTATCAGAATCAATGGTTACACAGCTCCTGGCTGGCAGAACAGGAACACCCTCATACAGTGTAAGATTTGGTTATAAAGTATGCTTTAAGAGAGATTGCTAAACGAAAAGGTTAATTCTGAACAATATGTAGCTCTTCTGTATCCTACAAGACTAGACACCGCTCGGCTAGACTGAGTAATGAGATTCATCTATGTCACTGGAGAAAATTGTTGAAGATTTGAGACAGAGTAATATAATATCCTACCAGATATAGAGCTGGGTTATTTGGGTATGTCATGTCAGTGATTTAGGGAGTTTTCCAAAGGACAATATTTGGGGCTGTGATCTACAGGCCGCATACCCTGAGATAATAAGACAGACTCAATTAAATGTGCATCTGAATTTATTTCCAGAACCAGTGTTATAGTACCGATGCTCCAGCTAATATACTGTGTATAATGTATTTCCAGAACCAGTGTTATAGTACCGATGCTCTATCTAATATACTGTGTATATTCTTCCGACTAATAGCTTGTTTATTTCATGTGGTAGCTTCAGGCTATACATGATATACTGCATGTACTACCAAGGTAGGTATGCATAAATTTCATTCACAATTTATTCCTATTATTGTCTAGTGTTTATTCTGAAAAGATCATAAAATCTGCTTACTGTACCCATGTTTATCCACCTGTGACACACAGACCCTGTCAGTTGACTAGGCACTGTACATTGAAACAACCAAGTTTGGTTCTGCAGAATAACATATTAAAATAAAACCAAATTGTGTTTTACGTATTAAACTGGAATTTGGGTGCTGAATACACCAGAAATTTATCAAACTGCTCAGATGCATAACCTTGATAGAATATATAATGCATAGCCAAGTGGGGCATATGATGCATAACCTGGATAATATGTAATGTATAGCCCACACAGGGTATATAACGTATAGCCTAAACACCGCAAATAATGTATATTCAAGGTATATATTGGAATAGGGGATACTGAACAGTCTAAAGATATAATACTGAGCAGTCTAACTAGGGAATATACTGATTAGCCAATACATGAGGTCATACTTAATGGCAGAGATGGGGAATATACTGCAAAACCAAGGTAAGGAATATTGAAGATCCCAGACAAGGAACATTCAAGGTCTATAGGTTCCTGCAAAGGCCTTTAGTGTATCAAGTTAACCAGCCTGGCTACATCCAATCCACTAGAAAGGGTAAACAGCACAACATTCCTCTTATGATACAATGCAGATAATATTAGTTTCCTCTGTACGTGGTAGTAGCGAGCACCAACATGTGTTAGTGTGGTAGTCGCATACAAGGGGGCGAGTCACTGCACGCACGTCAAGGCAGGCACGTGCGCACACGGACACACCACGGCCACTCACTGACTTAGAGCACAGTATCTAAAAATGGTAATCTCACCCTGCTGCATAGGGTAGCCGACCACACCCTGCTGTTGCTGCCCGTTGAACTGCTGTTGTCCTGGCTGCATTGGCACTTGACCCCACTGCTGTTGCATCTGCATATTGCCGCTGAAACAAGGACGACCACTGATGAGTGAGTGAGTGAGTATGGTTTTACGCCGCTTTTAGCAATATTCCAGCAATATCACGGCGGGGGACACCAGAAATTGGCTTCACACATTGTACCCATGTCAGGAATTGAACCCGGGTCTTCGACGTGACGAGGGAACGCTTTAACCACTGGGCTACCCGACCGCCCCGACCACTGATGAAAACACCTCTGTTTCGGGTAAGTGGGTAAGTTTTGTTTTAAGCCACTATTTGGTAGAATTCCAGCAATATCATGGCTGGGGACACAGAAATGGGCTTCACATATCGTACCCATGTAGAAAACTGAATCCAGGCCTTGTGTGATAAGGAAACACTTTAATAATTGGGCTACCTCATCGAACTACCTCATCTAACTTAAGATTACATTTTTGTTTTGTTTGTTGTTTAGCCCCACACTCATCAATATTCCAGCTATATGTCAGTGGTTTGGACCAGACAAACCAGTGACTGACATCATGAGCATTGATCCACACAATTGGGATACAATGACATGGATCAACGAAGTCAGCAAGCCTGACCACCCGATCCCATTAGTCGCCTCTTACAACAAGCATCGTCACCATTAACGGCAAGCATGTGCTGCTGAGACCTAATCTCGCCCGGATCTCCACGGGTGACAAAGTGAATAGAGTGAGTGAGTGTCCAAAGGGGTGGGAGGTGTGGGTTTGGATTGGGAGAGAACAAGGTTGAGGCCACTCCCCAATTTCAGCAATTTTAATTCAAGTACAGTAAACTATGATTATAACAAACTCAAAGGGACAACTAAATTTAGTTTGTTAAAACCGTAGTTCGTTATAAGCACATATAAAGCACATATACAGGGGACTAAAAAACAACAGATCGGTATATCCACCAGTTAGTTTTGGGCGTGTTTGTTATAAATGTATTTTACTGTAGTTCAAAATGCATTGGTTCATCATCTGTCAACGCATCATATGATGAAGGTGACAACCTGTGAAGCCCAAGTCTAGAAACACTTCTTTCTGTCTGATAAGCTCAGCCATATCCCATATATTAACATCAAACACTATTAATAATTTTCCCAGGAGATGAATTCATGCAAGTAGACGCAAATGTTTGGCACAGACTGTGTTTATTAACACATCCTCATATAACATGTACACGCTAGGTTTTGAAACAGTTTTGTCTGCACTGTTTAGCTGATCGGACACCATCATGAACTCGACACAGAATGTCTGATGGGTGCAGCTCTCAGCCTTTGTCAGTACATGTGTCTCATACAAACAGAATCCATGACACTCCTGGGTTTATACATTTTATGGATACAATGATTGCGATACACAGAACACAAAGATCGTTGTCTCCAGCAAAATCAATGCTGCTATCTATCTCCATTACGCTTACCCTGCAAACTGATAGTTATACTGGGGCCATTGACTCATGCTGGCTGCCTGAATATAGCCTGCCTGGCCCACGCTCTGGTAGGCGCTGTTGCCGGGGTAGTTGTAGTAGCCCATGTTGAAGTACTGACCGTACGTGTTGGGCGATGTCGCCTGGTAAGGCTGTTGTTGCTGCTGCTGCTGTGAAATAGAAATATACTTGTATTTGTAAAGGAATACATGACAAAGTTAATGCACAGTGTCCTTGAGTGAGTGAGTGAGTGAGTGAGTGAGTGAGTGAGTGAGTGAGTGAGTGAGTGAGTGAAAGAGAGAGTGAATCTGAGTGAGTGTTTGTTTGTTGTTTAACGCCACATTCAGCAATATTCCAGCAATATGATGGCAGTCTGTAAATAATCAAATATGGACCAGACAATCCAGTGATTGACATCATGAGCGTTGATCTACGCAAGTAGTATACAATAACATGTATCAACCAAGTCAGCGAGCTTGACCACCCGATCCCATTAGTCGCCCATTACGACAAGCATAGTCGCCTTTTACAACAAACAGTCGCCTTTTACGACAAACGTGGGATGCTGAAGACCAGTGAGTGAGTGAGTGGGTAGATGAGTGAGGTATCAAATCACAATAACCACCTTGTTGAAACAGTTGATTTGATGGCAGCGTCACTGCAGAGGCTAATATACTACTCAACATCTGCTAAGGACCAAATAGTCATCTTCAGTGAAAGGTGTGGTCCTCAGCAACATTGAGCAGTGTATTTATGTCTGTATTTAACACAATAACATGCCCAGAGAAGTGGACTCTTGAAAAAAACTAAAAGAAGAAAAGGAACTGAAGCTGCAATAAGGATGATGATCTGTTCATAACACTTAATTAACCTCAAATAAATTAAAATGAATGCTTGCACTGTCAGAATAATGGACAAAAAATTTCAGAAGTTACATCAGCATGAAAACCATAATCTTCTTCTCAAAATATCAACAGAACCTAATACTATAGCTTGCGACGGCCTTGACATTTCTTGAACATAGTTATTACCTATTTAATGCTATTAAGATGACATTTTTTAACATGCTCAACTGAACACTTAGCAATATTGTTTTACCAAACACACAATGTCTGGGATTCTAAGCAATTTGACTTTCACAAATGTCTTCACCAAAATATCATCTGTCTTCATACCTTCAGAACCATCTTTATCAAAACGACAGAAATGTTTAAACCTTCATCACAGACTTATGTCAGCCACAATCAAACATTCATCAGACCAAAATGTCAAGAGTACTTGATACGTCAATTCTTCTCAGCACACTTCTATACATTAGCTATTGTCAACATTTCAGGCGATCAATTTTTTTACACAAAACACTCAATCTTTTAGGAAATCCCATTCCATTCTTCCGATGTACACTTGAACACATTACAAGACAGTGAACAAAGAATATATAGATCTTGTAGTGACTTTCAGGCTACATCCTCTTCTCAAACATAGACACTAAGTCAACACGTGATGTTAACATTTGCACGTTTGAAGATAATGGTACGTTATGCCACCCAAAATATATCGATTCTGCAGAATGTTTACCTCTTACGCCATGTGATACGGACAGATACAGTCCGGTAATAACAGAGTGAGAATATCAGGGTTAACAAAGATTATATAAACACACATATACTTCTCAAAAGAAGTTATAGAAGACTGATTCTTTCATATTACCGTAGTGACAGATTAACTATCGAAATATGAAAGAATCAGTGTTCCTTAACTTCTTTTGAGTAGAATACATAATAAATCGAAAAATGGGACGAAATAGATGGACGAATGGGTTGATGGATGAGTGAGTGGAAGGATTGGGGAAAGCGAGTGGATATGAGGATGGGTAAGTGAGTTGATGGATGGGAGGATGGGTGAGTGAGTTGATGGATGGGAGGATGGGTGAGTGAGTGAGTGAGTGGAAGGATTGCTGAAAGTGAGTGGATATGAGGATGGGTGAGTGAGTTGATGGATGGGAGGATGGGAAAGTGAGTGGAAGGATTGGGGAAAGCGAGTGGATATGAGGATGGGTGAGTGAGTTGATGGATGGGAGGATGGGAGGATGGGTGAGTGGAAAGATTAGGGAAAGCGAATGGATATGAGGATGGGAGAGTGAGTTGATGGATGGGAGGATGGGAAAGTGAGTGGAAGGATTGGGGAAAGCGAGTGGATATGAGGATGGGTGAGTGAGTTGATGGATGGGAGGATGGGAAAGTGAGTGGAAGGATTGGGGAAAGCGAGTGGATATGAGGATGGGAGAGTAAGTTGATGGATGGAGAGTGGCTTGATGGGTGGGAAGTTTGTACGTACATTTACCAATTGCTGTGTTGTCTGACTGGGGTCATTCGATTCTTTACCCCAGGAGCACTTCACCTGTTGGTCGTTCACTGTTGACCCATGTACAGATACAATTGCAGTTGTTGCGTTTTCTTTTGAAGCAAATCTGAAAAATTAGGACGACGTTAAACAAGATTGTCGAACAAAACGAGCATCATCCCAAATATAATATTGTAAAACAGACAAACAATTATTTCGTTGTTCCAGGCAAATAACATGAATTAGTTTTAATGTAGAATACCTGGAAACTACAGCAATACTTTTGTTTATATGTGTCTTGCTTAAAAGTATGAAATCTACTCGTTATCAAATAAAAAATTCGAGAAAACAAGGTTTTCACAAATTAAGTCTACTTGCAAGCACCGCCATGTGCACATCTGCCAAAGATATCCTTCAAGTAGGCATGTTACTTGAGCAAGTTTTTACATGTAGTTATTAGCAACAAAGATAGATCATATTTGATATTTTCTCATACAGATGCATATTTGCTGCAGGGGATGAATTTTACACAGCTACTGTCTCATAAGAACATGAGTATGTCTGAACTCAACAGATTCATACACAATGGTCTTTAATAACTGGTTGCAAGGAAAGCAACAACTGAACACTTTGCAAATCTATAATAGAAATGTGTCAATTTGCTGGCATGCATTTGTGAACAAAAGATTTTAACCATTTAACACATTCTGCATATGAATTGATTTTTGGAGATAAAAATGTAATATATCATTAGGTTTTGTGAATGGTGGAAAACCACTTATTGTTTGTTCAGGTTTTTTTCTGTGGCACAGTGAGTGAGTGAGTGTGAGTGAGTGTGAGTGAGTGAGTGGGGTTTAAATCTGCACAGCGAATTGCATCACCAAAGACAGCTGGCCTGCATATAATCAAATCTGGATCAGACAACCCAGTGACTGATATTATGTGAAACAATCCACGCCGTCAGCGTGCAATGACATGGATTCAACCAAGTTTAAACAAAATAAACATATATAACCATCTTCTTTTAACGAATATTTCTTCATAAAAAGATTAAAAAAAATTACATCATAATTCATTTTCAAGAATTTTCTTCTTTTGGGGAAGAATGGAAATGGAATTTGAGTTTGGGCTGCAATATGTTTGAGAAGTGATTTACACTTCCAATTAAAGATATCTGCTAGTGTTGTGTTCACTTTTAACGACATATCACCAGTCATTCTATTGGCTACAAAAAGCAAAGAAGCCGACAATAAACTAAAGGCCAAATCGTCAGATATATGGGGTGATATACCATTGAAAAACATGAAATGGAATATGAGCCTACGATGCATTATTGCTCTTTTTGAGAAGCGATTTAATACTTGTGATTTCAGTTGCATATTAATGAGCATTTGTTGAGCAGATAGTGTATCTATCATTGTTTATGAGGTCGTTCAGATATTTTTCACCATAAAAAATATAGTGTTTATATTCAACTGGATTTTTTGTTATCGAGATGTTATGATGTTTGGTCCAGTCGACTGCTTTTGCATTTCTGCATGTTACTTTACACTTGAGTTTAATGGGTCTCATAAGACTTAGGTCTTTCTGAAGAGGATTCATAATCTCAGGGCTTGATTTAGCTCTATAAAACATGCATGAGTACGACCTATTATAAATTTTTTTCTGACTACCGGTAACCTTTACTTGTCCACACAACAACGATCTGTGAACACACTCAATACCTCTAAGATTAATGTACCGAAGTACATTACAAATCGTTGTTATGTGTAATTCAAGACACCTGACACACTCCTCTGAGATTTGAGACTTTACTTATTTAGACCAGTTTATGCATCTAAGCTTCAGCTTTATTGGACCAGGGGGCAACCTGTTTTTGTCTGGTGCAACCAGCTGTTCATGTCAACACGCACATGGTGCAAGTTTAAGCAAGTTCATTAAATCAAGCCCTGAATGTTGCTGATAATGTTTCCTGTAAATAGACTGATCTCATTTCAGATACGTGTATACAGTTTATGGTAGGTTAAATTTGACAAAAGTTTACTTTTGAGTTTCTTTTGCAAATCCATCTTGCCTTTTAACAGATTTTTCAAAACTGGCTAAGCAGGTCGACTAAAATCTCAATTTCAGATAAGATACTTCTTCATAAAAGCATTGATTTATTAAAAGCCTCTGCTTGAGAACTAAATGTCTTGATTTCTTTAACCTAATGTCATAACACAAATTCAACCCGTGAAGATCCAGGTTAGAATTGGTCTTCAGCAACTCATGCTTGTCGTACGAGGCGTCAAACGGGATCGGGTGGTCAAGCTTGCTGACTTGGTTGATGCATGTCATCATATCCCTATAGTGTAGATCGATGCTTGTGATGTCAATCACTGGATTGTGTGGTCCAGACTCGATTATTTACAAACCACTGTCATATAGCTGGAAAAAAGCTGAGTGCCACGTTAAACAACTAACTAACAAACAAACAAACAAACAAACAAACAATCGAAGCTCACCTTACAAAAGCATAACCTTTATCTTTAAACACCCTGATCTCTTGTATAGCCCCATATGGACTGAATGTCTTCTTCATCAATTCCTCTGGAAAAGTAAGAAGAGAGAAATAAATGCACAATTCTCATGGGAACAAAATAAAGGAGACCCAACACAAAATAACTAACAAATCTCACACTTGAAATCTGCCCCGTCCACTTGCTCTCACACGATCAAGATAATGGACTCGGGCTAACATTAACACACAGTGACAGTGAAACAATACTTGATAAATCAGGAATCTGGTCGACTTATAAAAGCTAAGAGCTGTTTCATAAATAATTTGTTCTGCCATACTTATCAAAGACACCTTATCTGAAACCGGACTCAATCTTTTGTGGAGGGATGATTTATTGCCGAGTTTGAAAGGAGGGCTGCGTGAAAAAGGATTACAAATATCTGACACACTTGTTTCGGTATGAAGGATGGTGTGTAAGAGTAATGCCAATTCCAATTTTTCATCTGACTGTACGCCATACATCTTGATATTCCCTGGGTAGTTCTATCTGGATCGTGTACTGGTGGCTACCCAGGTCGACCTGGACATGACAGTATGGACCCATAAGCAGCCTACTGATCACAACCTTCATCAATCAATGGCTTGGAGACTGACTGCTTGTACCCAACATAGGTTCATGCTTTTTGATGTGAATTTAGTATTTGCCAACAAAATCAAAGTGATCAGCGGTATGATTCATCATCAAATTAGCTTTGAATATCACCTTATTACAACTACTTTTGCCCATTCAGGGTAACCTTAACATGATTTTTATTTTTCTGTCTCTGTTAATTCAGTAGTTATGTGTGTCAATATCGATCCATGTTGTGGGGGTAGGATGAACTGCTAAATTAGTCAGGTCACAGGTGACAGTTGGTCCCCAGATCCCATTAGAACTGCTAAGCCAGTTGGGTCACAGGTCACAGGTGCTCCCTAGATCCCATTAGAACTGTTAAGTAAGGTCACCCTTGGACTCCAGCTCTCCATTATACCCATAAATCAGTCAGGTCACCAAAATCCCATTTCAGTCTCCACTCCCATTGCTTACTAGGGACCCATTCTGCCCCGGAATCCCCACATGCAGAATTAAACCTTAGCCTCACGTGTTAAAAGCTAACACATTACCCACAAGACTCCTTGATTGTTCCCTTAAGATCTGTGCAGCTCTGATAAATCTCAGATTTGAAAGAACACAACAATCCCTAAAAGGTTTTAGACTAAGCAGCTATTGAGGGTAATTGCTCGTTAAACTTTTCAACAAAATGTTGGATGAAATGAATGAAGAACGGAGCTGCACACCAGCAAGCCATCGTTCTAATGTTGTAGTCTTCTCTCAACGAGTCAAATTCTCATATCAAAGTCTGAATCTGCATTCACTACGGCTTTCTCAGACTCCATTTAAACTTTAATGTTATACAAGGCTATCCATGAAATCGTCAAGTTGACTTTACACAAGAGTCAAGAACATCCTTGACCTCCTCGTCTACCAGACCAAACCTGGAATTGAAGTTAGCATAGAGGCACCAATCAGAGCCAATTTGAGCAATGTTAAATGTACCTGAAGAGCCTGTAGTGATAAGTCCAATTTTAGTGGTTTCTTATAGATTACCATTACGAGGGTTAGTACACTTTGTGGTCATGTCCATGTTCATGGGTCTTCCTAGGCCTACATCAGCCTATTGGAAATTGCTCAATATCTTCACTGAGAAATAAATCACGACTTGTGTTTTTTTTAGCTTGTCTGCTTGGAATTTGACTTCGGACATTTTTTTCATGACTGGTTGTAATGTCGGTGAAACGAGATAGCTTGAAAGAACTATCAGTCAGTCGTTGATTAAGTATAATTTGAAAGAAGGTAGACTGTGTCTTTGGAAAAGATGAGGCTGATATTGTTTTTCTTAGACTCACAATCAGTGACAGATCTGTTTCTCAAAGAGACCATAGCGCTGAGACTAGTAATTTTATGTCACCAGATATAAAATTTTAAACCACAGACATTTGCAGTCCTACCACAAACACTATTACAAGCATCTGTGTAGGCAGACAATGGAAACACACTGAACGGACCTCCAGGAGCAAGTGAGTGAGTGAGTGAGTGAGTGTGGTTTTATGCCACTTTTAGCAATATTTCAGCAATATCACGGCGGGGGACACCAGAAATGGGCTTCACACATTGTACCCATGTCGGGAATTGAACCTGGGTCTTCGGCGTGACGAGCGAACGCTTTAACCACTAGGCTACCCGACCGCCCCGAGTGAGTGAGTGAGTGAGTGGGGTTTAATGCCACTTTGAACAGTATTCCAGTTATATCATGGTGTGTCAGCTTAATAAATGAGTAAGTGAGTTGGGTTTAGCGCCGCTTTTAACAGTATTTTAGTCATATCATCAGCTTAATGTGGGAGGAAAGCCCTAAGTGATGCAGGTCTCAGACATTTACCACCTTTGGGAAACCCACGTATGGTTCTGACAAACCAAGAAACATGATCGGGGCAAACCTGGATGCAAACCAACAATCATAGGTTTGTTCCAGCCTCGAGGGACAAAACTCTGCACAGCACATCGGCCACTTAGACCCACATACCCCAGCAGTAGAAACTAACAGTTTCAGTCCACTAGTCCTTATAATGATAGCATATAGCAAAACCTTTAAAAATGTCAAAATTCTACTAGTCCTTAGGATATCTTTACTATTGGGCAGTTTGGCAAGGCCTATAGGACTAGCGCCAATTTCTAACCCTGATACCCCCTCTGGGTTTGAGACCCTAGTTAGGGAGTTGAACACTGATTTTATTTCACACATTAGCAAATACACTAACAGTGCTTATCAAGACCTCATATCCACTTTCACACTACGCAACCCAGTTGTGGATGAAAGCTCAGTTAAATATCTGGTTTCTATATCCGCTTGCCTCTTTCAGATAATTCAGAAGTCAAATTAGGGCTAAAAACTATCAAACATAACATGTGCATATCATATCTAGTTGTTGTAAAGATCCCTCAGATTTTGTATTGCCCATGCCTGTAATATGAGGTGGTGAGTGGGTAGGTTTCATGGCCTTTTTGCACAATACTACTTTCAGCAGCCAAGTCACAAAATGGGCTTCAAAAACCATATACAGAACTGACAGTACCAAATTTGGCAAGTCCACTGTCTTTCAACATCCTATTCAGCACATATAACTCAACATATGGACAAATATTAAGCAAATGTTACCTGACTGACAGGCATTTTACTTGACTTTGGCTAGATGCAAATCACAGACTAGAAAACAATAAATGAACACTGCTTTGGTGTGACACGCATACACAGCGTTAGAAATTGGCCTCTAGTCCTGTAGTCCTTGCCAAACTGCCCAATAGTTAAGGTATCATAAGGACTAGTAGAAATTGGCCATTTTTAAGGGGTTTTGCTATATATTATCATTATAAGGAGTGAGTGAGTGAGTACTGTTTTACGCCGCTTTTAGCAATATTCCAGCAATATCACGGAGGGGGACACCAGAAATGGGCTTCACACATTGTACCCATGTCGGGAATCGAACCCGGGTTTTGGGCGTGACGAGCGAACGCTTTAACCACTAGGCTACCCGACCGCCCCATCATTATAAGGACTAGTGGACTATAAATGTAAGTTTCTACCACTGATACACCTCAACCATATGGCTAGCCAGCCCTGTCTGTGGCTCTAGTACATACTGACAGGCCTTGCTTAAAGGAATGCTATTGTTTCAATACCTGTGAGTCCATTTGAAATTCCTCCACAATACACTGTACAGTTTGTGGCGCTGGACTGGCTGAACACTTCATCATAAGAGAGCGGTTTTACATCTGGAAACAGCAAACAGAGAACATTAGTGTTAATACATCTAGGATTTATCAAACAGGGCATAGAGTTATTACTTCCAGGATTTATCATTTTGTTTGTTTGTTGTTTAATGCCGCACTCAGCAATATTTCAGCTACATGACGGCGGTCTGTAAATAGTTGAGTCTGGACCAGACAATCCAGTGATTAATACCATTAGCATCAATCCACACAATTGGGATACGATGACATGCATCAACCAAGTCAGTGAGCCTGACCACCCAATCTCGTTAGTTAGCATGAGTTGCTGAAGACCTATTCAATCCCGGATCTTCATGGGTCTCAGGATTTATCAAGCAGAGCATAGTGCTAATACTTCCGGTATCTATCCAGGCACTCTCAGAGGCCGATATTCGGCCCCAAGTCAACCTCAATAATTGTTTGGCTGTTTGTTGTTCAATGCTGCACTCAGCAATATGACAGCAGTTTGTAAATAATCATGTAGACCAGACAATCCAGTGACTGATATCATGAGCACTGATATGCACCATTGGGATACGAGGACTTGCATCAACAAAGTCAGAGAGTCTGACCAACTGATCCCGTTAGTCGCCTCTTACGACAAGCATGGTTTGCAAGAAAACCAATTCTAACCCCGATCTTCATGGATCCTACATCAAACATTAGTTACGGCTCGTAAATTGGAATTCAAGCATTCCAAATTGATGTTAGGATATATAGAGATATGATAGTATTCCAGCTCTGCAAGCGTGACATGTATATTGCACATAATAGGGGCAAAAAAGGGAGAAATACCTCTAAAAGGAATAAGAAAAACAACAACTTCAAAAAATCCCAAGTTTCAACCTAACACTGCTTTTTTCCCTAATTTGCCTGCCAGGGACCTTTAAAGAACACTTCACACCTTTCTTGTGCTGTCATTATGTTCCTAGAATCTGATAATGGATTTGAAAATCAAGCAAAATTCATGTTTGTGTTTTTCTTCGTGTAAAAACAAATACTCCATGCCAAAACATATTGGTATAAAATCCAAAATAACACAAAACATTTTAAGAAGCAAACTTCAGAAGACTCACTGAAATCCAGAATTGTGAAAAAAACTAATATTTTATCAAAACAGAAAAATTCTGAAATAAAACTAAAACTTGTCTGCTGAAACAAATGTTCGATGAAATAACGGGAGTAGCTCACGTGATCATCACAGCTAAACACTCATAACATTTGATCAGATCCATTACAGTTTCAAAGCTGACGTCTTACAATTCAGCAAGACGTGGTCAAATGTGGCCACCTTTCCCCTTTCCCCTAGATTGACCTTTGACACTATCCCCATATCCCTTGAACCAGCAAAGCCAGAAGATGGCCGCCCCATGTCGAGCCATTAACCCTTCCTTCCTGTCATCTTTCCGATGCCATACTCACGATGGTGTCTGATCACCTTGGTGGGGAATAATCCATTGCCGATGAGGCATAAACGTGCATCATTAATCCCCATAAAAATGTGATTATGATAAACACATGTAAATGATCATGCTAATAGTAGACTATCGAACGGTAGGGGTGAACATCGGTCGACTTGGGAATGGATTACTGTGAAAAAGTGGAAATCTGTTTTGTGTTAAAAGTGACGAGATCAGTCTCACAAGTTTCCCTCTCTCACCTTGGTGCGGAGTCGGAGAAATGTGATTTGACATGTGACAACTTCATAAGATGAGGAACTCCCTTAAGAGTTCCCACTCATTTAATTGCTGCGCAGTAACTATATCACAGTCTATTTTTTCCATCTTTGACTTGACAACTTTGGGTAAGGGAACATATCCCGTGGTACTTTTATGTTTCATATCATATTGCATTTCCCTACACTTACAAAGTGAAAAAATGTTCAAAAATAGTTTTGACAAATAGTTTAAAACTAGATATTGAAAGTACTTGACAGAAGTAGTGCATGTTTTTTCTCTCAGAATTATTCAACTGTCTTAACTTCATGCGAGTTGGGAAAGACATATACCCACTTTGGATGAGTTTACACAAGAAATTGATAGCTGTGGATCTTGTCTCTGAAACAGGTTTAATCATTTATGATGCATTGCTAGCAAGCCTGAACGAAAGGTGAAACCCAAAAACCTTGAAGTGAGATCCACAAACTAGGGGAAATGACAAACAGGCCTTATTATCATAAGTTTCAGGTACTGCAAACATATTCCGACTCCCCCTTCCTCTCACACACCTTACGCGCCAACCAATATTTTGTTTACTTCACAGTGATTTTGCTCAAGACAAATGAAATTTACACTTGTATCACCTTTTGATAGGAAATTATTCTATCATTACCAAATTTGAAAAAAAAAGAAGTTTAAGGATATTTTGGATTCAAACTCCTGGTAAATCAACTAATCTGACCCCTGCTTCATGACATGGCCAGAGTGTGCACCCCCTTTTCAAAATCCAAGATCTGCTTCTGACAGTTATTACCCGAATTAGTCCTACCGCAACACCCACTCCATCCTCAAAATTCACCCAGCCCTGCGGACATCTTTAACATTAGGTAACTGCTCACTGTAGCACCAGGGCTAGGCCTAATTCCCCTCCCTGCTGTGGAGAGAACCAGCTCTTTGTGCTCCTGTACATGCCCCTTAATGTGTGATTACATTAACGTGACTATATAACTTCCATCACCTCTAATGGAATAAAGGGCACATGGATAGCCATCTATTCCCATGACTTTCTAGCATACACTCAATCCTTCTACAAGTGTGCCTGATTAACTGGATAACACGCCCTTCAGGAGTTCCATCAAGTACATATTTGAACATTATTTTCCAACTGTGCTCTTCATTTGCATAATAAGTTATTAATCTTCGCAGTAATTAAATGGCATCTGACTGGCTACTCAATGTCTCCTGGTGCAGATTGACAACAGAGATATAACACGTGCATATTTACCTAGCCCTTCAAATTCCCATTCCTGACAATGTCTCATTAAAACATGGTCACTCAAATTTTCAGCAATGCCATTTGTTGGCAAACTTCCTGAAGCTAAGAGTATCAGCATATTTACCCTGCTGTCAATATTCTAAGAATTTCGTGTGTGAAGTTAAAATTTTAAACGCAATCAATACAGCTGATCCTTTCTAATTTATTATGTGATAAACGTCTGGCATATATCAGATTCTCTGCCCTCGTCTCAGTCTGGTGAATAGGGATTCGAGTTGTAGTTACTGGATTCAATAACTGATGCAAACACACCAGACAAACCAGACACTGAGAGCTACACTACCCAACTACAATGACACATTATGAGCCAGGACACATGTAGATCCGGGGTAGAATAGGTCTTCAGCAACCCATGCTTGCCGTAAATGGTGACTATGCTTGTCGTAAGGGGTGACTAACGGAATCAAGTGGTCAGGCTCGCCAACTTGGTTCATGCATGTCATCGTATTCCAATTGTGTAGGCTCGCTGACTTGGTTGATGCATGTCATCGTATACCAATTGCGTGGATCGATGCTCATGATATCAATCACTGGATTGTCTGGTCCAGACTCGATTATTTACAGACCGCCGTCATATAGCTGGAATATTGCTGAGTGCGGCGTTAAACAACAAACCAACCAACCAATTGTGTGGATCAAGGCCCATGATGTAATTCACTGGATTGTCTGGTCCAGACTCGATTATTTACAGACCGCCATCATATAGCTGGAATATTGCTGAGTGCGGCGTTAAACAACAAACAACAACATGAATGTGAGCGAGTGTGTGTGCATGTGTGTAGACTACTGCTGGTTTTATAGTGCTAGCACACTGAAATACCATGCTGCAGTTAAACATGGATGCCCCACTCAGACACAGTATACTAATTCCAAACCAACCAGTCCTTGTTTTATCCCCTTTATGCCAAATGTCAGGGTAACAACAAGTACCATCTGTCAACCTATTTTGGTATGACATGCCCAAGGATCAAACGACCGACCTTCCACTCTCCAGAATGACATTCTCACCACTACACTACAGAGCGACATGCTGTACAATAATGAAGAGATGCAGTATGGGTAATTCCCTTAAAGCGTAACTCTTCTAGTTTCTTATACAATCCTCTGGAGACCCATCATAAAACCGATATACAGATAACTTTCAATAACTTTTTTTTGTCTGCAAGCAATGAGTTTTCTTTTTCTATTCTGAAGGAACCCTCTTGAAAATAGTCCTTCAATGAAGTAGGTTCTGTTGAGGGGTCATAATTAGAACCTTAACCTAGAGTCAGCAAGAGTAAAAGCAATTTTTTTCAAGCATTTTTTAACTCGAGACAGCAGACAGCAAACTGAACCTTCCCTGGAGTCAAAATGAGGACAAGAAGCAGACAGTGTTTGATTAGAATTTTTTTATGATTTTGTAAAAATTTCAACATCTCACCTGACGACCATCTGTTTTCTTTCTGACTTGGGGCAGGAGGTTTTCGTGTAGCCCAGTTGGTTCTGATTGGCCGGGAACCTAACCACTGCCCGTTCATATTGGCGATTGCGTTTTCTGCATCCTGAAAAAAAGATTGATTCAAAGTTATGAAGTGCTACTTTATTCCAATCACTCTGTGGCAATAAATCATGTCAAAGGGGGAGAAAAAAGCGGGAAAAAGTTAATAGGAATGGATGAAATCAGGCTGCGTTTTTCGACAAAGTAATCAGAAAATGGCTCTAAGAATAATTTTCTGAACACAACTGGCTCACGTAAATGAAATTCATTGCTGACGTTTATTTAATACAAACGCAACAGGCATGTTTCTGTCCCTGTGAAACTGCATAAATCGTGCGACACTCTTGTCCTGGTGACAGAAAAAAACCTACACCTTCCTCCCAAAAATCAATAAAAGAGCAAAGAAAACAGTAATGAACTCAGTTTTTTGCTCCCTAATTTACATGGAACGGCACAGAAAGCCTGGTGTTGGGTATCTTCACAAGAACATCCTAACACATACAGGAAAACAGTGTTCAGAGTTTAAATTGCAGGTTGTATTGATCAACACATGTTTTTCACAACTGTCTTCGCAGAGCTCAAAGATGGGCCCGAACAGACGTGAAGATGTGAAGCAATCTCAAAAGCAGCAGGGGATCGCGGCAGAACGGAGACAACTGTTGTCACTCCGCTAGCGGCAAGGATTCCGCACGGCCCAAGTATGTCCCCATCAGCTCAGCTTTTTCAGTTTTCTCCAAGGTGTGACAATTACTCCGGCTTTGTGAAGTTGAAATTTTCCATAAAATATCGCCAGTTTGCTTGTCTGTTTCAGGGACACACGTGATATGGCAAAAAGCTGCTGCTCCAGGCAAGGCTGTGTGGTCTTGATTGAACACTGACTTAGAATTAAGGCTTTATAGGAACTATCCTCATCACACTGAAGCACACAGAAGAGATTTTCTTCTGATGAGATTTGTTGATATATTTTCAATGAAGTTTGTCAGTGTGGGGTGGAAGAATAATGGTACAGACAAACACTGACTCCATTTGTCTTTTTGTGAAAGGATAAAGGTTTATCTCCATCACAACACACTGGTAGGAACTCTTCAGAGGTGAGAGAGTGTATTCATCTGCTTTAGTGGCAGATAATGGACCATTGCAGAAAGAATGAGGATGAATGAGTGAGTGAGTTGTGTTTAACACCTCTTCAAACACTGTTTCAGTTAAATTATGGCAAGTCGCCATGGGGAGGAAACCCCAAAGTGACAGAGTGTAGGTGATTACCACTTTGTTGAAACTCAAACTGTTTTTCAGTAACAGACCAGCACTTGTGGGCTTCAACAAAGTGCCAAACCTATGAGATCTGCATCACTTCTAGCATCCCCCCACATTAAGCTAACACACTGTTATATAACTGGTATACTGTTCAAAACGGCATTAAACCCAACTCACTCTCTAAAACAAAAAAGGAGTGAGTGAGTTGGGTATAATGCTGCTTTTAACATAATTCCAGTTATATCACAGCATGTCAGCTTCATGTGGGAGGAAAGCCCAAAGTGATGTAGGTCTCAGACGTTTACCACGTCGGTGAAACCCACGAGCATGGGTATGATGCTGACAAACCTAGAAACAAAATTGGGGCGAACCGGGATTCGAACCCACAATAATAGGTTTCTGGCGTGCCCAAGGGACACAACTCTGCACAGCAAATCGCGGCGCCTTAGTCAATTGGGCCACCCGTGCCCCCAAAACAATATGGTGCTGACAGACCAGGGGGCGTAAGAATAGAAAGTATAGGCACGGACAACTGGGCTAACAACAGCCCCTTTTTATCTGAGGATGAAGAATGAGTATTAACATCAAACCTGGTTTGGCCACAAACGTAAACACTGCCCACTAGGCTAAGTCTCAAAATTATACAGACCTTGGAATATTCTAGCAGAGATTTTAACCAAGGACATTGGCACTGATACAAATGCACTGCAACCATACTTCCTATTCAGTTCAAGCTACCACTGTCACCACCAGACTACCACTGTGGCACCATCCTTGGACAAAGTGGAATGAATTATTCTACAGTAAAGAAGCAATACCAGGACACCAGAATACCCTTTCTTTGTAACCTTTATGACAAATGAACCCATTTCTGCCATCTGGTGTTTTTTATCTCCTCCTCCCCCCCATCCCTGGGGTAACAACTGATCTTTTCCAACATCTTAAAAGCTAAAAGCAAGGTCAAATCATTTGACATTTCGGGTCCAGAAATCTATCATATTTCTCAAATCTGTCCATACAATAAGCTCATGAATTATTCACAACAGACTTCCCTGTAAAACACAAGGAGTGAGTAGTGGTAGGCCTGATGATCACCTTCAACAGACAAGTGACCATAAAGCAGACACGATTCTCAGCTAAATGATCGTGTTCTAGGTGAAATATTCATTAATAACATTAAATATGGCTGCAATTAGAGGAGATTTACTTCTCTATTTCATTACCATACCACAATTAAACCTAATTACCCCATGTTTAAACTGGTTAGGCTTGAGACTGCACCTTAGTGCAGTATTACCAGTATGCAAAGTTTATTTGTTCTTTCCATTCGGTTGCCAAACTTGATCCATCCTATCTGATAACAATGTCTCTTCCATGACGCGACCGAACACAATACACTTAATTGTCACAAAAATGCTGTTTCTCTTCCATATTCTATCTATTAATCCTGCAAATGGGAGAACAAATTTGCCCTGCTTGATAAACAATAGTCTGTATGCGCGCTGTGCGGAGTAGGGGCGACACGGTGCATGATGCATCCGTGTCATGGCTCTGGTTTGTGTGTGAGGAGGACAAGCCTCACCTTCTTCTACCAAATGGAATTACTCCCCACCAGACAGTTCTGATTTTTATCGGCGCTCTCGGTGAAGCATGGAATCGGTAAACAAACGTGATGAATGGGACAGTTAATGAAGGCATATCATTTAGAATTACCACTATTCTTTCCATGGGTGCAATCACCAAAAGGAAACAAAACCATTTTCCACACGACTGCTTCAATATGATTTGGCTTTTAAGTGTAAGTTCAATGATTTTTGCCGAGATATTTGACTAGCCAACTCGTGTAAAAGCTTGCGGGAAAAAGTGTAATTTATTCAAAGTAATTTGACAATACGAGACACATATACCATCCAGGGAAAGAGGAAAAATTACTACCTTTGAGACTATTTATTGACAGCGTGTGGAACTAATTGCTGAATGATACACATCTCTTAGGGAAGCTGTACCTTGGGACCATGGAAAATGACACAATTTCTCCCGATCCCCAGCAATCGTCATGGTAACTGTCGGGATAAAATACTGGCGTGTTCGAAGCCTGTCATTAATCCCCAATATTTGGGTTGCCTTCCTTTGGCTTGCTTTTTCCTGTCGTGGATACTATCCATAAAGCAAGGCCATTGTCCACTTGGAGATGTTCGAATGACTGCAAACTTTCTGTTGTGGTATATTCAAAGAACGTGTTTAATACTTTAAGGAATAAACACATATGACCCACGATGCGTGCAACCAAGACAATTGTCCCCCTTTACATACTGGAAATATCAACATGAAAACCAGCAGGATAAAATGAATTATTCAACCATTTTCTGAAGTCCCAAAGAGAAAATTCTCTTGCAGAAAAAAAACAACACTTTGACTTGCTGATAATCAGTCGGAATAAAAACTCAAGGGACATTTCGCCTGAGTCATTTTGTACAAAGAGAAATCTATTACATGTTCTCTATTGGAGAACTTCAAAGGCCATTTCCTACCCCTGCCTTCCATTCTGCGAGCTTTTTCACTTTCTTGCTGCCAATGTAAGTTGATTAGAGACCTATTACATTTTTTTAAAAACATATAAAGAGAGCATTTATGCAAATTTGGATCTCTCCTCAATGTTACTGAGAGTGAATTTGAACAAAACTGTTTAAATAAATATCAGAAAACATTGACATGATATCAGAACATTGGGCATGGACAGTGTAGCATAATGGACATTAATCTTGGTGCTTCTGTTATGACGTTTGATAAATGTAAGACCTAAATGAAAGTTACATTTTAGTTGAACGGTAATCATTCATGGTGACTGCTTTGTCATTTAAAGTCACACTGCCCATTTTGATACAAAGAATCAAACACATCTGTCAATATTTGATTCTCTTAAAAAAATGAAGATAAAATTTCAGAGATTTCATGTATATCTGAGTGCGTCAGTAAAGGGGATTGTACGTCATAGTCCGTGAATTTTCAGCTTTATCAGACCATCGTGTGCATTAACTTCAGCGAGATAAAAAAATAATATATGTATGTCGCGTCAGCAATTTTTCAACTTCATGAAAGTAACCACAATATTTCATTCATAATTGTTTGGCGCAGTAGAGCAGAGGATTTATCTTAAATGGACTATCATAAATATATCATCTTTAATCAGTCTTCCCCAAAGAAGACAAACAAAAACAATATTCATGGATTTAAACGAAAATCACTGGGTTTTTTCAAAAGTGACAAAGATGGACACTTTATTTCATCCAAAATAAATGACATGGAATATTTTAGTTTTTAAATTTGAAAATGATATAACAAAACTTACAACTTATTTTGAAAACTTTTTACAGCTATTGAAATAGAACCATCAATCTTATCCTTGACAACCCTCTTCCAACAACAGCAAGTGCAATACAAGATATTGGATTTCATCCCACTGACTACAATGTGTTTGTCAGTCCATTTGTTATTGCTGAAAACATGTAGCTTCATCTCACTACCCATAATGCAATTGGGACAATATTAAGTGAAAGCGTGACCCTAAGTAGATCTTTACGTTCAGAAATACTGGCTTTTCGTGAGCGGTTTAACAAAGCATGGAGCACTGTTGCCTTAATTTGGAACGAACATGAAAGAAAGATATTTGGTGAGAAAAGGGGCGTCTAGGCAGCTATTACTTTCACAATAAAATGACCCGTGTATTACATGGTTTCTCTATATTCAATCCCTCAAAGCCCGTTTGCAGTTCTATCAAGTCCACAATGACACTGAAACATGCACACTTAAGCACGTGCCACTATTGTTTAAGTAGGGACAGAACCAAATGAGGGTGATTGCACTGGGTCCATTAATGGCCAATGAAGAAGAATACAAAGATCATTTTGTTACCAAAGTGACTCCATTGTCATTATCTATCTCACTTCGCCTCTGATAATCTCAGACGTGTCAATATTTGTATTTACTTAGGTATTGAATGAATGATAATATTGTGCCGAAATATTGCCATTTGCGTTTTTTACCTAATATACTGATATTGTTTGATAACAAAACAGAATACTGTTTACACAAATTTATACCCTGTAAGATATTAATTTATTACTATTAATAAAACGATGACAATGAGAGATTATTTAACGGTTAATAAGGAGACCTTTGAATCTCAACCTGGTATAAAATATAAATGTTTTTAGTTTGATATTAATCCATTCTGCGAACAAATGACCTTACTTTAAGCACATAAAAATCAATATAAAATGGTTCAATATTACATGCAAAGACATTAATACTAAAGAAATGTTCATCTTCGCTATCGTCTAGTAAGCTGAAGTGTGTGTTATCTGCCTATGAACCTGATGCAAATATCTACATAGTGATGATGAATCTATCAAAAGTCCTATGTTAACAACTGTTGAGTCGGTTGCTAGGCGAAACATCAATCCTGGCAAAGCTAATGATGGAACGAAATACAAACACCAAGAGCATGGGTATAGGCTGTCGGTGACACAAGGAAGAGAAATATTGTTACTTAGGTCATAAGTTGTCTTGTGTCTATGTTAACCTGTGGATCAACAAACCTTGGGTGAGAGAGTGTGACTGTAGACAGTGTGACTAGGTGTAACGTACCTATGTTAGAATGGACCCGCAAGGATTCTAGGCAAGAATATTGTACCCCACCAACACATGCCTATCATAGGAGACTAAACGAATCGAATGGTCAGGTTAAGTGACTTTGTTGATTGCATGTCAGTTGTGTGGATCGATGCCAGTGTTATCACTGGATTGTCTGACAGATTGCCGTCTTACAGCCGGAATATTTGAGTGTAATTTTGGAATTGGTACCGATTTGCTGCAGATTTTGTTCCTAATATTGGCCTCTGAGAAGTTCTAGATACTGGTGGAGTCTCAATTCAATTTCACTTTGGAATAAATTGTGCTGTACCCTTACCCATGAAGAAATATACCGGTATATCAAAATCAATGGACTGAAGCAGGGTCTGAAACATCTCAATTTAGCCACTATACTTTATGATGATGATGATGATGATGATGATGAGTCTAAATATATCTAAATATATATACATATACACATATATCTATAGATTTTTGATTTTTTTTCAAATTTTATCATTTTCTACTACAAATGGATACTTTTACCAGTATGAATATTTGTCAAGGCTATTGGTCAAGTTCTATTTTCTAACTCAGAAGTACTCCTGCACAAAGGTCAAAACAAAATCTTGTTGATAAAATTGGGATGAAAACAAAATCATAAATGCTGATGTCAAATTCCTTGGAGCAATCCACAAATCCAGGAATAAAGAATTATCTCTTGAAAGAGATTGGTAGGCCACATTTCAATACTCCAACGGCAAATACATCATGCCATGAATTGACCGATTTGGAACCCATTGGCGTATAAAAAGGCTTCTCCAATGATCTACAACCCTGATGGGAAAATTGATGTAAATATGGTAGCCATTGTTGTAAAGCGAGTTGTAATAGCAATAGTTGTGTGTGTACAACTCTGCTGAACAAAGCCACCATGACCTAGCAGGCTCATTAAGAGGTCACCGGTCGCCACAATGTCTGCAAATATCCAGCATGAGATCCATAGCTTAGCTTAACCTGCCGATATTTCTCTAATGATTGGGAAGAACTTGGGACTCCATGATCACAGAAGTTCCCTGACAACTGCGCCTTCCTTGATGCATTCTTACCGGGATACATAAGACGCAGATCAAGGGCAGGATGAGATGCATTCGCACATCAGACAAATTTCCTGAATATATCTATGGTATATATACTGATGGAAATGAAAGAGGGAATACTTCGTTTTAGACACAGTAAAATGATATGCTATCATGGGTTGCCAGCCTTGTCTACCAAATACGTGCTGGAAACGATGCACACAAACACATCTCAACATCTAATTCTGACGTGTTGAATTTGTATGCACACTATTTCAAATGTACTGACAGTAAAGCTTATTTCCCTATATGTTTCATTGTTCCCTTATACATGTTACAATGGCCATGGCCAGGTCCACAAACAAACAAATATTTAAGAAGTCAGATATTTTATTAATTTATATCCCTTCTCTTATCTTTTAAAAACAAAAACACTCTGACTATGAATATAGAGGGTCTTCAAGAGGCAAGTCAGTAAATTGAGGCACTAGAACATACTTAGCAGCGCCATGTGACCATGTGGCCATGATGGAACATGTTTCGTTTGTTTAACGATGCACAAGGCATTATTCCCGCAGCCTGTTCATTATCTAATCAGGACCAGACAATCCAATGATTGATATTATGGGCAACAGTCCACGCTGAGGTACGATGACAACCTTTCAACACTGTCATTGAGCCTAACCACACAACCAATTTGGTCACCTCTTACAGTCAGTACAGGGTGCTGTGGCCTAACTCTAACATGTACACCAAAGATATCATTCAACATGTGCATTTCTGTCACAAATGCAGCATTAAAATTGGCACTAGTCCTGTAGTCCTGCCAAACTGGCCAATATCATAAGGAAGACCCTTGAAGATCCGGGGTAGAATAGGTCTTCAGCAACCCATGCTTGCCGCATGTCATTGATCCCAATGGCGTGGATCGATGCTCATGATATCAATCTCTGATTGTCTGGTCCTGACTCGATCTTTTACAGACTGCCGTCATATAGCTGGAATATTGCTGAGTGCGGCGTAAAACAACAAACCAAACCAAACCAAACCAAACCAAAAAAACTTGTAGAAATTTGCCATTTTTAAGGGGTTTGCTATATGTTATCAGTGTAAGGCCTAGGGGACTAAAACTGTTAGTTTCTACTGCTAAAATACCAACAATCTGCCAATGACAATCATCTTCAACTAAAGGTTTGATCCAGACATTATATAGTCACGTGACAAACGAGAAAACAGTCCCCACTAACTGAGGATGCATCTTCCCCAAGATTGTAGAAGCATTGGGTGCTTGGTGACCTATTTTTGTGCCCACAACCTAAGCGGCTGTCCAAACTGTAAAGGTCCATGATCACTTCTACGTAATGAATCTTCATCACCCCAGTCAGGGATTACACTAGCTTACATCTGCACACAGCCCTTGGTCTGGGGCCCAGGGAGGATTACACTGATGCAGGGACACATCCCAGCTGGCTTCCAAATCCCAGGAAATAGGTGGAGGGGAGGTGGAATGGGGCTTAACGTCTTGTTCAAGTTTATTGCACCCTTACATAGCAACAAGCACGCACAGATGTATGTGTCTATGTATTTGTATGTGGCTGCTTGTACTAGTCTGGACTAATGCTGGATTCATAATGCTAGCGCACTGAGATACCATGCCAAAGTTAATGATATATATCCCATACAGACTCTGTGCCGACCAGTTCTTGTTTTAGCCCCTTAATGCCGAGCTCCAGGCAGGGTAACAAGTACCATCTTTTAACAACTTTTGGTATGTCGCAGCTGGGGACCAAACCCTATCCACTCTATCCACTACACTACACCATGGAGATGGTCTTGAAATAAGTGGAATCTCATCATCCTTGACATAGGGAGTAAAATGTACTTACCACTTTGTTTACGAATGAGACGAAGCCATAGCCTTTGGATTTCATAGTTTGTGGGTCTCTGATGATCTTGCAATCTCTGAAAGACAAAATAGGATATAACGTTTTTTCATGTGCTATTTTTCCATGGTAGAAACATGTAAAAAGACAATTTGATCAAGGAATGATACACTGCTTCAACAACTATGGAAACTTCCTGTCATATTCCCCATCCTGTCCTTATAGGTAACACAAGTTTCAATATCCCTTTACTAGTGTGGGTTACCCAACGTTCCCTTGTTCAAGATTGGATGAATTCATTTATGGATTATACTATATCTTTATTCTCCACATTTCGTATTTTGACACTTTCCCCAAATTATCATTAGGATAAATGATGATTTACTTGTTCTCCTTTCCTGAATTTGACTATGACAAGACAACCTTGACCTCTGTAGGGCATGTAGTTTGCATGAGCAGTTTGCATACTGTAGACTGTAGACTTATTGGAATTTTACAATAACTTTTTCAACTTCAGCCACAAAAAATTACCATATTTGACAGTAAATCTTTTGGAATTATGTAGTCCCGTCAAATTTGACCATTACTAATGACACCTCAACTCTCAGCAGAGATTGACATTACCAGAAACATTCAATCTTGGTACAATAATCTAATTGATACAACCTTTTTCTGCTTCAACATGTGAAACAGACTGTGAATACCAGAACAATATTTGCCCTAAACAACATTTAAATTGGATTTTATTTCAAGGATAAGGCATGACACTTTTTCAAACCTACATTTAGAACATTCTCCCCAATAAATTTACCATCCAATTTTCTTTCACCCAATCATAAATCATGGCTCCTTCACTTCTTGCTGTGACGTGGGAAAAGCCGTTTTATGCGGATTTTCACGATTATTTTTAGCATCCATGCACCCTCATAATTCATATCTAATATCCGACATTTTGGGAAATCATCTAAAACTAATTGACAAAGGAATAAATAATTATGCCCAAGAACAAGCTGCCTTTTGAGGAACTTATCGTCCCGGCATCAGCTCCATAAACAAGAGTTGGAGTTGACCATGTATTGATTGATCTCTAAAGACCAAGGAATGCATGTGTAGGCTCCCCACACAAGCGTATCATCCACCAGTGATAATATCAACATTTCAACAACATCATATCAGAGAAAATCTCACAACACATGGCCAGCTTGGTTTCAGGTAATAATGTGTAATTTCGGGCTCCGATGTCTATCATGGGGCTGTAGGCAGTTCTAATACAATGTAGATAGCGGGTTAATTGGAATAAGACCAGATTTCCATGAGAAAGTAGGGTCGACAGGGAAATGACTTATATCTGGTTGTCATGCCATGATAAGGACCCAGCATTCCTTCGATAATTAAGTTACAAGAACAGCCACAGTGGAACTGAACACTCAGTGATGACATTTGTAGTTATGTTGGCTGAATTATCATAACCTCGGGTGGGTATTAAGACTAACGGGATATTTGTGTTCATCATTTTGAAAATAGAGGAAGGGGGTATACATAAAAAAGTAGGACAATCATGTAGCTGAGTGGCCTCATGCTGTTTTAGTCTTTATTTTGAGATTTAATCCTGATAGCTAAACAGCAGGGCATTTGGTAATCCATGGGATCAGTTTGATGTGAACGTTCTTCCATCTTCTTATGTTTTCTAAACACCAAGTATCACCCACAGGAGCAATTACGAAAAAAAGAAATTCAACTGGTTTCTATTTTAGTCTTGTTCTCTCATCAAGAAAATTACACTGGCATGAAATTTAACAACAATCTTTTTCAAAGCCATTTTTTGTAAACATAATTTCTTAATTCAACCATAAAAAAATTGTTTTTATACGGAAAGAAACAGCAAAAATGTTTTTTCAACACAGGACTAGGAGGGATTGATCAGTAAATGAAATACAAACTGAGAGTCTGATGGCAATCAGCCCCAGATGCTTCTTCCACATAAGACCAACTCAAGTGAATCAGTTCCCCATCACAACAGATTGGGCGAATTGAAGAGTAATATTGATGCAATGGGAGACATCCCAACGTTTTTCGGAACCTACAATGAGACGACGTGAACGGAAACATGTGAACACTGATGTGAGTTCTCCATGTTGACCATAAACACCCAACAATGGCCTGCCCGGCCTCGGCAGTAACCCACCACTTTACAACCACCTTTCAAGACGGGCGGAGTGTAAAGACAATTTGCAGGGGCCTAACCGAATCAAATATAAATAAAAAGAATTGTTCTAGAGCGAACTGCCATGGCAAGGAAGCATAATAGGATCAATCATACAAGGTTATGTCATATTTTCCCCTCCACTGTCACATGAAAAGGTTTCACCGAGCAACACTCGTCCAGAAGTGTAATGGAAACTTCTCAAAGACAGCACATCAACCCGGGCTTACAGACTGAGCCCCTGACAGCAGGCATTAATACCGGGAGATAATAAATGACGAAAACCGCTCAGCTTCGATTGGACTTTATGAAAGTGTGCTGTGTCTTATTTCGATATTTTTAGTGTAATTGCCAATATGAAAACTGCATAAATGGAATTGATGTTAAACTTTACAGCTCCGGCTCAGTTCTGTAATCAAATTTTTAACAATATTTCGCGAGTTATAAAGTAAATCTGAATGGCATTAGGTTAATTCAGAATATGATAAAATGTTGATAGATTGTCTTCCAAGTTTGTGGAGAGGAAAATACGGACCGCCATTCCTTCAGGTGATCTGTTCCTATTAGGTAGCATGTATCATGTGACTCAAAGCCCTCCAGTCTCGGGAACAAGACGTTCTATTGTTCAGGAATGTGGTGATTTGAGTCTGGTCGGTTCCTAATACACTGTGCTTGACTGTAAATGATTAAACACTGAAAGAATCGATAGTATGCTGAGGTTCCAAAATCTTGTTTTCAAATTGAAAGAAATAACAACGTGATCATCATCTTCCCAAGCATCCAAAGTCCTCTTGGGGTCTGGTGATGCCAGGCTTGGCTCACTATGGGAGTATTGATTTTGGACTGGGCTGGCTGAGTGAGTGAGTGAGTTGGATTTAGTGCCGATTTGTACAAGGATTGTTCATACACCAGGGTGACCCAAGTGAAAGTTAGGTCCAATCCTGCTTTGAACAGTATTTCAGTGATATCACTGCATGATAGTTTTAATGTGGGAGGAAAGCCCGAAGCAGTGCAGGTCTTTGATGTTTATGAGCACAAATGTGTTGTCGACAAACCAAGAATCATAATCAAGGCAAATTTGGGATTTGATATGACTTAGGAAGGCATCTGTATTGTGATTTGCAGCAGTGATGACTGGTCCACCTCTGACCCTTTTGCTACCAGTCACATGGCATACAGATGGAGCCGATAGTGTCTGGATGATGAGTGCACCCATTAACCTTTGCGCATGCTTCTGGAAGGAGGGAGGGAGGGAGGTTCCATACCCTTTGCATGTTTGGGACACAGGGAGGGGCACATTGTACCCACATGGGGATTCAAACTCTGTTTTCAGTTTGATAAGGGAATGCTTTAATAGCAGGCAGCTTGAGAGACAAATGGTTGCATGAAAATCACCAAGATGGTGGGATAATGATTTGGAATAAGATAAAAGCTGACTGATAGGCAAATTTGTGTGAAAATAGACTTAACGTATTCTCTTTCTGGTAATATCTTTATTAAACCAAATTTTATGCTACAGGACTATGGCTCACTGGTGAGGACTCCTTTCAAATAAAGATAGACCTGTCTCCATGGTCTGGTGGCCATTCCTCGTCTTGATCTAGACCCTGAAATTAGTGCCCTGATGAATCTGAAATGCTGTCGCTTTGATAAGGGTAACTTGATCGCTCTCAATCATCATATTGCACAGTCGAGGAGTTAACTTTGGTTAACCATACAAAGGAGTCATGATACGAAATGTATGTTCTGGAATACACTGAGCAAATTTATACGAACAGTAACACACTGCTATAATTTTTCTTTACAAGTCCCTTTTTGATGATTGTTACTGCAAGTCACCGCCAATACATTATCGTTGACGGAAAAATGGTTGATGAGTTGTGTTAATAGTTCAGTAAGTACCAATTTATGAAATGATATGAATTGTTTAGCTGAATATTGCTAGTGGGGACGGACAGCTGTGGGGTGAAAACATTCTTCATGCCAAGCACCCACGATCATAGGTTTCTTGCACGCAAAGAGTAGCAGCTCAGCAGAGCAAAGTGTGGCACCTTAGATAGTTCGGTAACCCTTGAGCCCCCAAAACATTTGTTTGTTGTTTAACGCTGCACTCCGCAATATTCCAGTTATATGATGGCGGTCGGTAAATTCTAACCCAGATCTTCACTGGGTCCCAGTAATATGATGATGGGCCTGAGCACAGCTGTACACTCAGTAAGTGCAGTAGGAGTCCCTTCTGAGAATAGCACTCCGACCCACAGCCTCCAGCGTCCCACACATGATTCACCATGAAGTCCAACAGCCCAGCAGCGAGCAACTATCCTTGAAACAACTGCCAACTACTTTCCATGACAAGAAACACTATCCCAACTTTTTGTCATCAAGGAATACAAATGTGAATACTTCATGAGTTTTGTTCCAATAAACCCCAAAGATTCAATCTGCAGTTGTTGCCCCATGGTTAGGCAATATTGAGATGAAATATTCATCACAATTCGCCAACGCATCCTGCTGTAAAACAACCTAACATCAAAAGAGTATTCTGTGATTACATATACTTTTTCCAGCTGTTACTAGCGGAACAATAGCCCTGCTTGTATTGTCTCATGAATAAGGGCAGGACAGTAACACACTCCACCATCCATCATCAAATTCTCATCTTCTTTTGTTTTTATTTCCTTTTCCTAGTTTTGGTTCAAGAATCTACACCTCCTGAAAAAAGCTGTCAAGATGGGGTCCCCAGTGGATTGTCCTTTCTCAGCGTAACGCCTACTGCACGAGCAGCAAGATACAAAAGCTTGTTCATGTTACTTAAAAATAATCCCTTCCGTATTTGAAATTAACTTTTCTGTACTTGCTTCAAAAGAGTCACAAAT